CTCACACTGGTTCCATTTCTACTTTAGTTCCAAAAAGCTCACTTCTTTTATCCAATGTTTTAGTTGTTCCTGGCATTAAGAAAAACCTTATTTCCATCAGTCAACTTACAAAGGATAATAACTGTTCTGTCACCTTTTCTTCTTCTGGTTTTATTATACAGGATCAGGCCACAAGAGTAGTGCTGGGGGTCGGCAAATGTGAGAATGGCCTGTATGCGCTTGATCAGAATCATCATGCCTTTACTTCCGTCGTTTCCTCCAATAAGCCACGTGCCCCTGTCCATTTATGGCATGCTCGTCTTAGCCACCCTAGTTTTCGTACTGTTGACTCTCTTTCCAAGTCTGGTTTTATTTCCTGTAGTGATAAATTGAAGGGTTTGGATTCCAGTTTATGTGTTGGCTGTAATCTTGGCAAGAGCCATCGTTTACCCTTCTCATCTAATAATAATCGTTGTGTTTTACCCTTTGATCGATTACACTGTGATTTATGGGGCCCTTCACCTATATGTTCACCTACTGGATTTCGATATTATGCGGTTTTCATTGATGACTGTACAAGATTTAGTTGGTTTTTCCCATTAAAACAAAAATCTGAATTTTTAGACACCTTTGTTCATTTTCAACATTATATTGAGACTCAATTTTCTTCCAAAATTAAGTCTTTCCAGTGTGATGGTGGAACTGAATTTACAAATAATAAATTCCGCTCTCACCTTACATCCTGTGGTATTACGTTACGCATTGCTTGCCCTTACACACCGAGTCAAAATGGAATTGCTGAACGTAAACACCGACATGTTACTGAAACTGGTCTCACCCTTATGTTTCATGCTCGTGTTCAGTTGTCTCTTTGGGTTGAGGCTTTCTCTACAGCAGTTTATCTCATCAACCGACTCCCCTCGCAAACTCTTGATGGCCAAACTCCATACGAGCTCCTTTTTGGTAAACAACCTGACTACTCTATGCTCCGTACTTTTGGATGTCTATGCTTTCCTTATTTACGAGATTATGCTCCTAACAAATTATCTCCCAAATCCTCACCTTGTGTCTTTATAGGTTACAGCCCCATTCACAAAGGATTTCGCTGTTTTGACCGCAAGACACAACGTATTTATGTCTCTCGACATGTCCAATTTTATGAAACAATTTTCCCTTATGCAGGTGATGATATACAACACCTTCCCAGCTCAACACCTTATATCACTTTCTCTGATTTTTTGGAGTCTAATAATGATGTGTCTCCTGCCTCTCCGGACTTGTTGCTATCATCCCCGGTTTCGGATCCTATTTGTTTGCCATGTAGTGATGGTCTTGGTGACTCTTTTCCCCAGAACTCTCCTGCTGTGTCTACCGTCCCTTCTCCCAGTCCACCCACACCGTCTATTTCCATACCAACGCCTTGTACCAACACTCACCCAATGGTTACTAGAGGAAAAGCTGGCATATTTAAATCTAAAGCCTATCATGCATTGACAATTACACCTTCTTCTCAGTTTTTTCAGGCTCTTCTTGCACTAAAAGAGCCTCGGGGTTTCAAATCTGCTGCTAAACAACCTGAATGGCTCTCGGCTATGGATGATGAGATACAAGCTTTGAAGAAAAATGATACTTGGGATCTTGTGCCTCGTCCTCACAATCATAATGTGGTTGGTTGTCGTTGGATCTTTAAGACCAAACTCCGTGCCGATGGTTCCATTGAGCGTCATAAAGCTCGCCTTGTGGCTAAGGGTTTCTCTCAGATTCGTGGCCTTGATTTTGAAGATACATTCAGCCCTGTGGTGCGCCCAGCTACTGTTCGTATTATACTATCAATTGCAGTCACTTCTGGATGGCCCTTACATCAATTAGATGTTAAGAATGCCTTTCTCCATGGTCACATTTATGAAGAAGTATACATGGATCAACCACCTGGCTTCATTGATCCACAGTTCCCTCAACACGTGTGTCGCTTGAAGCGTGCTCTTTATGGACTCAAACAAGCCCCTCGTGCTTGGTTCCAACGCTTCAGTTCTTTTTTGATGAAACTTGGTTTTCTTCTGAGTCAGGCTGATTCTTCTCTATTTATCCATCATACCTCCGCAGGCACAATTTATCTACTGCTATATGTCGATGATATGGTGGTTACTGGTAACAATCCCACTCTGATAACGACTCTTATCACACAATTGTCCAAAGAATTTGCTATGAAAGATTTGGGTGCTCTACACTATTTCCTTGGTGTCGAAGTCCAATCTAACTCTCAAGGCTTATTTCTTAGCCAAACCAAGTATGCTCTGGATCTACTCCAACGTGCTGACATGGTTGAGGCCAAACCCATAACCACACCTTTTATAGTTGGTCAACATCTCTCCACTGCAGGGAAGCTCTTTTCGGATCCCACCCTTTTTCGGTCTCTTGCTGGAGCTCTACAATATTTGACAATTACTCGACCTGATCTCTCCTTCAGTGTCAATTCCATTTGCCAGTACATGCATGCTCCAACCGAAGATCATTTTCGTGCACTCAAACGCATTTTGCGTTATGTTAAAGGCACAGTTCATCATGGTCTTCAACTTCACTGCACCCCCTCCCGTGAGTTGCTTGCTTATTCTGATGCTGATTGGGCGGGTTGTCCTGATACACGTCGATCTACCACCGGCTATGTTATATTCTTGGGAACTAATCTTGTCTCTTGGTGCTCCAAGAAACAATCCACTGTTTCTCGCTCCAGTGCCGAAGCTGAGTATCGATCCTTAGCCGTTGCTACTGCTGAAGTTGCTTGGATTATTCAGCTACTACGTGATCTCCATCTTCAATTGCCTTCCCCTCCAAAAATATTATGCGATAACAAAAGTGCTATTTTTATGGCAGTCAATCCTGTCACTCGGCCTCGATCTAAGCATATTGCGATTGACTACCATTTTGTTCGTGAATTGATTGCAAATGATTCCTTAAAGGTCGCCTTTGTTCCTTCACATCTCCAGCTTGCCGATTCCTTTACCAAGGGAGTCCCTAAGCCTCAGTTCCTAATTTTTCGAAACAAGCTTCACGTGCTTCCTTCTGCCACTCTCAGCTTGCAGGGGGGTGATAAGGATGAATCCTCTTCTGATTCTTCCCTTGATCTTAGATGATTTGTACTATCATTCCTTTCCTAGTTTGTAGGATATTCTCACGTATCAATTATATTGATTTGTTTCCTAATATGAAGGATCTCCCAACTGTACATACATTCTATATAATGAGAATTGTTCACCTCAATATTTATTGAGGATTCCAGCCATTTCACACACAGGTTATTAAACCTTTTTAGAAAGACTGTAAAATAGATAATATGGTCTCAAGCTATGGTATTACTGCAATTCTATGTCCAACCAATATTAATATTTGCTATACAGATCATATATTCTAAACATATTATCGATGCTAACAGATTGATGTCCATGGAATTCTCTTGAGGAAACGTAAACAAAATTTAGTCTTTTTCTGTTGAGAAAAACAACAGAACATGTTGCTAATACTATTTTCTCTAATTGTACCCCTCTTCTTCACATTCACTGCTGGAATGAACTCCGTTGTTGGATGTTCAAGTCGAGCAATTGGGCGCCCATCAACTTCGAATTCAATATGAACAATAAGATGAAGAATCCAGTGGGACAATTGGACAACACAATCAAGAAAATGTGGTGGAAGAGACATAATAACAAGAGTGTTAGGGAAAGATCATGATTTCAGATTTTTATATTCATAGTAGCAAAATTTTAGCCAGGAGTACTCTTTTCCCCTTGCAGCTACAATCTAGTTAATCTATAGTACCTCTCAAAACCATTTTGAAATGAAATGAGATTGAAAGAACTTCTCGGATACTCTCATAGATGGAGCCTATTGGGTTAATTCTACACTATTTTATCATACCACATTGTGTACAAAACCTATGAAGCCATCAAAGGGGAGAAACTTGTGTTCATGGGCAATTCTTTCACATGTAATGCGATGGACTGGGCAAAAGTAACATTCAAATTCCTCTCACATGGGGTAAGATTTCAACTCTTTTAAGTTGCTTCCCAGATTCTTTCTATCAGGAAGAGCTAGCTTCTTCAAAGAAACTTGATTTAGCCCCTATTTGATCCACATTATTTTTTTCATTCTCTTTCTTCTACTCATTTTCAACCACACATCCTTTAATAAAATAATATTTTTCATCACATCAATAACTTTTTCTTCTTTTTCAACCACACATTATTCATCAATCTACTATTCCAGAATACATTCTTTCAAAATAATGTGGCTCAAACACACCCTAACATAGATTTAAAGTTATATTTTAGTTCCACTTCCCCCCACTGTAAGAGACTCGTGGCATTTTAATGATTTTAGAAGGGATATCACGGGAGACTGAAGTGCTACAAAAATAGAATCAGAATTTCAGCATCTAATTTTATATTTCTTCAATTATTTATCAGTATGATAATTCTTCATTTTTATGTAGATATTGAATTCCAGTAGACATTCAGGGGATACAGTCCTATGTGTTACGGGTCTACTTCCAAGTTTCCATCAAATTTCTAACCATCACATAAGATTCATACAACAAATGAATTGTATAGTTGCATAATTTAATATAAGTGCCCACAGAATTTAGGAAACCAAAACACAGTTGTAAAAATAGTCAATGGCCAATCTCTATCTCATAGACGAAAGCATATACCAAATTACACTTGTAACAGAATGATTTCTCCTGTTCAATAAGCTTTAGTTGAATAAAGAAAAGATTAAAAGACAAGTTCACAAAATATATTCACATGCAGAGACTACCCAAACAGGATAATCACATAGAGAGACAAGAACAACAAAGAGAAAATCTAAAGATGATACAAACATTTTCATATTTAGACCCCCTATCAAGGAGCAAAAATAAGCTGAAAAATGAAGGAAAAAGCATTGAGAAAACACATTCTAGTGCAATAAAGAATACAAAACCTTCTATAGATCAATTACAAAACAGGTAACAGATAGTTGACCTATTACTTCTGGTTGGTAGCGCCCTTCTTCTTCAGCAGGTTTCCAAATTTGTGCAACAAGGGTTTCTTCTTTTTCTGACTCTGTTGTTTTGATGCAGAACTTCCAGCATTATTAAGATTTTCTGTTGAGGGTAGCCCATTGACCTGGTTGTAGCTCTTAAAACCCTCAGTTTTTGAGTCCACTTCCTCCTCAAATGATTCCTGTTCTGGCTCTCCCTCAGGAGAGAGGTCTTTTTCCTCAATCTTGCAGCTCTCCCACATCTTAAGATCAACATCTGTAGAATCATCGTCTTCCTTTACTTTATTCCCGTTATCTTTTAGGTTTCCATTTATGTTCTCAACTTCAGTAGCAATCTGAGCAGATTCATGGTTCAAAATGTCGTTAACTTCCGCGGGCTTCTTCTCCTCTACAGGTTGCTCCTTCTGTTGAGGTTGGAGCTCCATCTTAGGCTTCACGTCCTCTGTGCCATTCTTTTCAGAGAACTCCACCAAGCCATTCTGTTCGGAAAACTCCACCACTTTTGGAAGCATGTCATAATCTTTTTCACTGTCCGTAAGCTCACCATTTTCTTCGACACGCTTCTTAGGTAAATCTTCAAGCAACTTAGATAACTCCTCGATCTTCTTAAGAGATGCAGCTTCTCTAACTTGTAGCTCCTCATTCTCCTGAAGAATATTCTGTAAGTTATTTTCTTTGTCCATTAAACCCTCTTTTAATCTCATGCTCTTAGCCTTTGCTTTGCCAACGACTTCCTTTAGGTAAATCACCTCTGATTCAGCTTTCTTAAGTGAATTTTTCAGGTGATCTTCTTCCTCCTTCGCTGCAGAAGCTTCTTCCTCTGCCACATTTAGCAAATTAACAAGCCTGTTTATTTCTTTTTCCATTGAAGAATTCTCTTCTTCAGATTGCTTCACACTTCCCATTAAATGAAGCTCCTTCTGCTCCCACTCAGTTTTTGAGTACTGGAGATCATGCTTTGACTGTTCAAGAGAGTTAGTTAGAGCCTCAATCTCTTGTTTCGCATCATCAAGCATGCTTTCATACTTCTCATTTGTTGCTTTCAAAACCATCTTCAGGTCTTCTATTTGAGTTTCATATTTTTCATTCTCAATTTGAACTGACAATAGCTTCTCTTTGGCTTCTCTTGCCTCTGAAGAAACGTCATGCAAGGCTGATGCTAAACTTTCCATTGCTTTCTTGCTCTTCTCTTCTTCATCCCTAGAATTTTCCAATTCATTTATGAGCTTATGTTTTTCTTCCAATAATGTTTGCACACTGTCAGCTGCAAGCTTCTCATTGTTCGAAGCCTGAATTCTCTCTTCTCTAACAGTTTCAAGCTCAGACACAAGATATTCAACTTTTTTCATCATTTTAGAAGCTTCTTCCTTGGCTAGCTCAAGATTGCATTCTGATTCCTCCAGATCTCCCTTCTGCCTTCTAATTGAAATTTCCAGCAATCCCACCTTCTCTTTAAGGAATGCGATCTCGGATTTTGCATCATGCAATGAATTGTTGCTTCCTTCAAGTTGTTTCATGACAGATTTCAGAGATCCTGAGGCAGATATCTCCAATTTCTTTGCTTCCTCTGCCTGAACTTCTAATGCCTGAGCCCTCTTCTGCCACTCCTCCACTAAATTATGTGCATAAGATTCAGCCATTTTCACAGCCTCCAGATCAATATTAAGTTGCTCTAAGGTAACCTCTCTCTCTGCCAATTTCTCCTCATTAATATTTGCCCTTTCAAGTTCTTGTCTCAGAGTATCGATCTCCAATTTCAGTACTTCCACCAACTTACTGTTCTCATTAGCTTCCATTTCAACTTGCGAGTCAAGCATGGATTTCAATCGAACCAATTTGGCAGAAAGAATTTCCACTTTTTCTGCATGAATCTCTGCATTTTTTGATGCATCCTCAGCATGGCTGAGTGCCTGGTTTTTTGCATCAGCAACCATAGCCAACTCTTGCTTCACCTTATCAAGTTCCTGATTGGCAGATAGGAGAGCTGCCACATCCAATGCATGCTGGGTTCTCGCTGCTTCAATCTCTCTCTGCCATCGCTCGTCCTTCTTTTTGGTTGCTTCAATGCCAGCCTGTTCCATCTCAACTGCTCTGAACTTTTCAATCTCAATATTATCTTCAGCCCGCTTTTGAGCTGCCAACGCCTCTCTGAGTTTCCCATCTGCTTCCTCAGCTGATCCCTGTGCTTCAATCAATTCATCAAGAGCTTTTGCTTTTTCTTTCTCAACCAAAACCAACTTCTCCTTGGCCTTCTTAAGATCTTCCCGAGCAAGATTTAATTCCTCCTGAAGTTCCGATGGTTTTGAAGTCCGAGCTGGTTTTTTCTGAGGAAAAAAGAGAATCAAAGTCAAACAATGTAATAATCCAGCAGGGTCAAAATTTCAACGACTACTATCACCTAATGCACCCATTCAATATGAAAAGGCACTCTTCAACAGTTGGAAAGAATTTTACTGAAACTTACATCAGGTGTGTTACTGGGCTTGGAAGACCGCCGGTCTACTACAGGCTTTGGAGTGACCAGTATTGAAGATCGATCAACTGAAAGTCGAGAATTTTGCAGGGGAGAGGCCGAATCAGCATCAGATTTGGCCACTCCCCTGCTCGACTTGCTGACCACGGGAGTTGCTGGTGATGCTCTTTTGTTGTGGGTTTCAGAAGCACCAGATCTGTGTAATCACAAAACTTTAATTGCCAGGTTCCATTATCAAAATCCCATTATTCAAACAATGGAAGATCTAGCCAATGGACGCTAGTCAAGAAATCAAATGAAATAAAATGTTGATTATCATCCAAAGATAACCTTTCCACAGAATCAGCTATCACAACAAGAATTGAGTATGTCAAAATTACGCTTGAGATCCACCCCTTTTACTAAAATAACTCAATAAAAACAAAATTCAACAATGATCAAGGATTGGATTATAAAAACAAAGTAATTTTCAACTTCTGTACAAACACTCCAAACCAAAGAAAGAATAATCCCAATTCAGATTCATGTACATACCTACAAACACACAGAGTACCGTAGAATACAAGACTTACTTGGACTTAGTAGACATTATGGATTGGAAGCAGATTCTGCAGCAAAAAGGCAAACGAAGCTAAGTGTGGGTTGAATGGAATGGGAGAACCTGAAATTCAGCTGACATTGTTATCTTGTGTAAGAGAATGTATGTATGACAGTGAGTGTCGGAGAGAGAGAGAACTGATGAGATATAGTATAGGTATTTACAGAGCAGTATTATTGAGAATTTACAGAAAAATAATGATCAGAGTTGATGTTCTTCACTGCCCGCCCACACATGGCTGCAACTTTTGCCCCCTGGCCGTTACACTCTCTCTTAACTTTTCCAGGATTATTTTCACACTGAGTTTACGGAAATACCCTCTATGTAAAACTGGCCTATTCTATTTCTTCTTTTTTCACACTTGAAAAATGGGAAACGGGTAGGGATGGCAAAAAAATACGCCGACTCGGACGGCTCGGCTCGGAAAAAGCTCGAGCCGGGCCCAGCTCGGTTTCGGTTACACCGAGCCTCATTTTTTTGGCCAGGTTTTGCTCGGCTCAGCTCGGGCCCAAAAAAGCTCGGCACAAAAAGAATCGAGCGTAGTCCAAGCTTTTTTATTTAATTTATAGTACGTATAAATCGTACAAATTTTAAATTTTTTAAATAAAAATGTAGATTTGACATTAATAAAAAAAAACCCGAACGGCTCGGTCCGAGCTCGGCCTGGCCCGTTAAGGCTCGGGCCGAGCCTCATTTTTTTTGTCGAACTTTGCTCAGCTCGGCTCGGGCCCAAAAAAGCTCGAGCTCGGTTCGTTGACATAGCTAGAAATGGGTCACTAAATTTTTTTAGTTTCACAATTGGGTCACTTGCTTCGCATAATTGACTTACAGTTACACTATCTAAATTAGAAATAGATAAAAATAAGTGATACATAGATAAATAGTATTTGCGAGTCTTTGAAAATATGTGAATAAAAAGTAGTGTGAATATTTATAAAAATGAACCAAACATAACCTACTCATAATAGATTTTTCACGTACTCATTTTATCGCGACCCTGATTTCACCACTACGTCATGCATGACAAAGTATTAAGAAAAAAACTCATTTTAATGTTTTAATCTAAGGACATTATCACGACCCTTATTTTATCTTTTTCGTTTCTAGAGTGTCATACAACAATTACATGAAATGTATGTTGTAGTATGACGGTTAATTAAGCAATTTTCATGAGTTTCTGATAAGATAAATTGAATTCTAGTGACTCAATTGACATGATTAAAATTGCGTGGTCCAAGTAAAATTTAGTGAAAATTTAATGACCACAAATGAAATTTACCCTTAAAAAGTAAAAAAATATCTTTTACATATGGATAAGGTATTGCTTTCCCAAGCTTATATGTGTTTTTGTAGTTTTCTTTTTAATTAATAAGGAAAAGACAAAAAGAAAATGCAGTGATTAAGGATCCAATCATGCTATTACTTGGTTTTGAGGAACGTTAATAAGTATCATTATAGAAATTAGAATGACATTAATCAAGTTTTAATCCTGCATTAATGGATTTATTTATTTATTTCTAATTTTGGGTGAATGTTGGAATACTAACATCTAAAATTTAACAATTTTGCCATTTTTTTTTTTTTTTTGAAAAACATTTAAACTATTCACCTTGTTCGAAAGAAGAAACACATAAATTTCTAATTTTTAGCAAACACAATATTTGACAGTTTCAATCAACTAATATTATGGCCCTGTTTGGGAGAAATTTTAATCAAGATTTTAATCAAAATTCTAGCCGTTAACTATCAAATCAGCCACCATTTTTTACTTTCCCTCTCACAAGTGGGGCCCACAGGTTGACCATACCGACTATAATTTTGATTAAAATCTCACAAAAATTGCTCCCAAACACGCTCTTAATGTTGAGTTTAAGTGACAGCAAACTCCACATCATGAATATTTTATTTTATTTTCATCAATGTGAAATGTAGTGTCCAATATCACATTAAATGGTGTTAGAACATTCGTGTGCTACCAATATTTTTATTTTTTAAATATATCATTTCAAATTTGTGTTTTGAGAGAGATATTTCTTTTATGACTTTTACGATTATGTTGGTTACAATGTGACAAGAAACTGCCTAATAAAAATGTAAAAATAGATTTATTTTGAAGAACGATGCTAGGTGTACAATCATTAAGGAATTAATTAGAGGGCCCCAAACTAATGTGAGAGGTTGTAAATTTTACAATCCCTTAATGATTGTACAAATGNAAAAAATTTTAGCGGGGACAAAGGGAGACAACAAAAATTACACAGTGATGTTCTTTAAAGATATCCATCAAATTGGGTGGGGAAGTGTAAGAAACACGCACGCTGATATTGATATGAATCTATGATGTTAAGTCTCACCTAATCTACTCTTCTTAGTTATTGATTAACTAATCTCCAATTTGACAACTTAACCACAATTTAACTTGTTCTACACATAATTAAGTTTTCTGTTTTGCTAATTTATAAATTCTGCTAATGTTTCAAAATAGGAAAAATCCATTTGTACAATCATTAAGGGATTGTAAAATTTACAACCTCTCACATTAGTGTGGGGCCCTGTAATTAATTAATTAATTAATTACAGGGCCCCACACTAATGTGAGAGGTTGTAAATTTTACAATCCCTTAATGATTGTACAAATGGATTTTTCCTATTTTGAAACATTAGCAGAATTTATAAATTAGCAAAACAGAAAACTTAATTATGTGTAGAACAAGTTAAATTGTGGTTAAGTTGTCAAATTGGAGATTAGTTAATCAATAACTAAGAAGAGTAGATTAGGTGAGACTTAACATCATAGATTCATATCAATATCAGCGTGCGTGTTTCTTACACTTCCCCACCCAATTTGATGGATATCTTTAAAGAACATCACTGTGTAATTTTTGTTGTCTCCCTTTGTCCCCGCTAAAATTTTTTAAACCAATGTTATTTAGCACAAGTGATACGTTATTATCATAATATTTATTGAATTTAAAATATTCTTATATTCATTGCATAGTGTGATAGTAATCATAATGCTACATAGATCGACCACTTGGACTTGTCCCAAAACCGAATCAAACTAGTCCACTTTTGAATCTTAAAATTAAGAATTGAATTCTTGGTTTTAGTCATACAATTCTGTTTGACAAAATTTATAAATCGTCTATAAATTATTTGAATTTTTTTATTTTTAAACTCACGTTTAGATGAAATCACAAATAACGTCTACTTATCAATAATTCATTTATACATATTTATAAATCCTTCTTGACTATTACGTGATTTCAGCTTTCCATGTAGAGTTGATTCTAATTTCATATCCTTCTATGTATAACACCTTGATTATAGCTCATTTTGGTTCAATTTAGATGTATATATAATGAGTGCACATTTTACCAAATTAATGAGAAAAAAGATTTTTCCTCATTCCATTACCATTGTTATCATGGTATGAGAGCAGTGGTTATTTCTCCTTCCTGGTAACCCATGGTTTTCTTCCTGCTATGGCCTCCATCACTATTTCTTCTTCCCTTCTCAAAGCCATTACGGATCTCTCCTCCCCATATTACCTTCATTCTGGTGACCACCCAAAATCCCCTCTAGTCGAACCCCTCTTCCATACACAAGGCCCTTAACGCCAAGAACAAACTAGGTTTTGTTCTCGGGACTTTTAAACGACCTAAACAAGATGACAACACTACACAACTATGGGATCGATGTAGCGACATGGTTTTCTCATGGCTTCTTGTTTCCATTGACCTTTCTCTCTCAGCTAGTTTAATATATTGTAGAACCCCACATGTTTTGTGGACTGACTTGGAGACTCATTTTCAGCAAAGCAACAATCCCAAAAATTTTCGTTTGAAGCTTGATATCACTACCCTTCGACAGGAAAATCTATCCATCACTCAATATTACAACATAATCAAGCAATTATGGGAGGAACTCTCTTCTTTACAAACAACAAAAGCATGCTCTTGTGGTGCTTTAAAAGATCTCACCGATTTTCAATCTTCTGAACATGTTTTCCAATTTTTAATGGGCTTGAGTGATCAGTTTCAGCATACTCGTAGTCAAATACTTGCCATAGATCCCCTTCCACCAGTAAGCAAATGCTTTGCCATTCTACATCAAGAAGAGACTCATCGTCTCTTACAAATACCAGGCCACAATCTAATGGACTAAAGCAGGCTTCACGGAATTGGTGTTCTGAGCTCTCTTCTATCCTCATTGAAGCTGGTTATGCTCAGTCTCATGCTAGTCACTCTATGTTCACTTGTACATGTGGTTCCTTTTTTATAGTAGTTCTTGTTTATGTTGATGACATCTTATTGACAGGTAACGATGCTTAGTCATTATCCAATCGTAAAAATTTCCTTGCTAGAGCAAAGTTCTATTTTCTAGAACCTGTCTTAAAGTATTTCTTAGGCATTGAAGTTGCCCGCTCTTCTGCTAGAATTTTTATTAACCAGAGAAAGTATACTCTTAACATTCTTTCTAACTCTGGAAATCTTGGCATGCGTCTTGCCCACTTTCCTATGGAACGAAATGTAAAGCTCTATCTAGATGATGGTGACCCCTTACCTGATCCCCACACTTATCGACGATTGGTTGGATGACTCATTTATTTGACCATAACCCTCTTGACGTTGCTTATCTATGAATACCCTCAGTCAGTTCATGAAACATCCCACGTCTTCACACTATGAAGCTACTCTCTGTGTCCTTGGATACCTCAAAGGCACTCCTGGCCATGGACTCTTATTTCCTTCTACATGTGATTTTCAGATTTCAGCATTTTTTTACTCTGATTGGGCCAGCTACCCTACCACTCGACGCTCCACTATAGGCTTCTTTATTCAGCTAGGTGACAATCCCATTCTTGGAAAACTAAAAAGCAAAATGTTGTATCCCGTTCTTGAGTAGAAGCAGAATATCCTGACATGACCTCTACTACTTGTGAGCTTGTTTGGCTTAAATTATTATTGCATGATCTACAAGTTTTTCAT